AGGGTTTAGGGTTTAGGGGCCCGTGCTTTAGGGTTTATGGTTTTGGGGTCCGTGCTTTAGGGTTTAGGGTTTTGGGGTTCGTGCTTTAGGGTTTAGGGTTCTGGAGTCTAGTTTAGTCGGGTTTAGGGTTTAGGGTTAGGGCTCCGGCCTCAGATCCAAGAGCCCTTGACCCCTTTTCCCCGGTCTTTCCGCCTGCATCCCAAGGCTCATAGGCCCTTAGACCCGATTTACGCGATTTACTAGGGCCCTCGTCCCCAAAAGCGCGAGCTTTCTTTTCCCTCAGTTCCGAAGCTCTCTCAAATCACAAGCGGCGAGCCCGATATGATTTGCGACATACTCCTCAGTTGACGGATTTTGCAGTCACTGGACCTTCATACTACTCGTAATGACGCCCTGTATAGGACCCTAAACCCTGTCAAACAGCTCCTTCCACACAGGGAGTGAAACTCGCCAGCACGGTGGGAAACGAAATCGCCAGTAAAGCTGCGGCCTTGGGTGGCTTGGTCGGGTGTTTTATCGGCTTTGGGGTTTATAGGTTCAGAGGCTTGAGACAGAATTTTGCTCCGGCGGGCTCTTGAATTGCGGAGGGAATCAGCCACACAACGGCGCACGTGCGAGGCTGTAGGATCCTGTCATTTGGGCTTCTTACAGGTCTTGCACACGGTCTGAATAATTAGTGCTGTGTCCCCTCACATGCTTAGTTTAGACCGTCTAGCCCCTATATAATACTCATAATTCGCATAATCTACCCCACAGCCCTCCTATGTTATGTTTGTTGAGGTCTCTGTTTAAGGGTCTGAGGTGGCGAGATTGCCAAACTGGGCCCTTTAGCTGCCGGCCTTGCCAAAGCTGCTTGGGACGAGATCAAGAAGTTCATCAACTGCCTCGCCCAATCCTTCACCTTGCGCCTTGTCATTTTGTGGTCTTCTTTTCAGGGGTTATAAACAGGGGGACTATAAGATACTCTACCAAGGGGCTTTCTAAGGGCTACTATAATAAGGTGATTACAAAGGCATTGTCTTAGCATCAAAGGCTTCACTAAGGGTTGCTGTCGGGGTTACTCACGATCATCAAGCGTAGTATGTTGAATGTGGCTTGCATGTTCGCTGTTGCTTTCGTTATTGCTGTGCTTTGACCCCTGTGGCTGCTGCTAACATCATGTACACCAGCAGGATCACTGCCAGTTGGCTTTGGGCAAATTCGAAGTTGTATGCTGCTGTCTTGCTGCTGCTAGTTGCTGCTGCTCCTGCTGCCGCTGCTCCCGCTGCTGGCCTTGCCTTCATGACCAGTACTGCCAACATTTTGGCATATTCCAAGCTAAAAGTCTTGTCCTTTTCGCGGTCTTCACCAGTGTTGCTGCTGTTGTTTGCATGACCATTACCAATTAAGATCCTGCTAGCACCTCCATATATACATGTGTAATCATATGTAGACACGTGCTGTATGTGTGTGCATTTCTCTATACTAATATTTACATATATATATATATATATATCTGTAAGGAGAGATACACACATATGGGAACTGTTCTACAATCAAGCATCGGGCCACCCTTTCAGCTAACCATAGTATATCATGGTATACACTGTAGGAAAATATAGTATATGCTACATAGTATCGTGTTATACAGCATTATGGAACCTTTTGCTACCTTCTGGCACATGTCAAGGTGCAAGATGCTGATCGGTGATGTGTGCGATTGCGACGCGGGAAGTGACGTCAGCGCCTCCCTCTCCGGCCTCTCTATGACATGCAAGTTCAAGCATACAGGCGACTTCGCACAGGCCATGTGCACCAAAGGGCGCAAGGGTAGAAGCTTGAAGCACCAACTGCTCCAATACATTCTTAGTTGTCAATGTGTTGTTAGTTGTTTGGTGTCAGGGGGTTGGGCGGGGCTTGCACCAGCAGCGCAAGCATCGTGTGAGGCTAGTGAAGACCATACGTCATGAAACGGCAGCCCATCGCTCCAGCATGATTTTGAAGGGTCTGGCAAGCACTAGTGGCTACAGGCTTAGCATTATGACGATGATGCCGAGGACAAGAAAACCCTGAGCATATGGACACTTAGCACTTTGTTTATCTTGTCCGCAGACGTCGTCAACGAAGCCGTTGTGAAAGTCAAAGTAGTCGTTGCAGTCGCCGACTGGCGGTCGCAGCCGCAGTCGCGGGCGTACTCGTTGTAGTCGTGCCTGTAGTAGTGGTGGTACTCGTGGCCGCTTGCATTCGGTCGTCACTGTGTGCCAGGGCTGGGGCGTCTCGGCCAGCAGCAGCGGCTCCTTTGAAATGGGCGACGCCAGCAGCGGCGGCAAGATCAAGCTGCCGGGCAACCCTTTCCGACAGCAGCGGAAGCATTCGGGAACCTCCCTCAGGCCCTTCTTTGGATCCATCTCAGAAATCCAGAGTCGGACAGGAAAAGTCCTGTGTAGCATTGGTGTAGGGAGTCGCACCCGAACTTTCCGTACCCCAAACTCCACCCCTCAACCGACAGATCTTTCTATGAGTCACTAATCTCGTCAACCCAACCTTCCTTTCAGTGCTCAAGCCTGAATAGCCTACACACTAGACTCTGGCCCTTGGCCTCAGGTACAACAGCGCGGACACAAGCAACCCCTTTCAAACTCTTCTTCTACCACTCGATCCGGATGCACTCCTCAACCCGATACCCCACAGCCAAAACCCTACAGCCTCCACCGAACTGCCCCGTAACTGCCAGGTCACGCCGGGCGTTGAAGGGCTACAAGTCCAGAGCTCCGGCGGGGTCCTGCAACTGGGCCCAGCAGTGTCCTTCTATTCGTTTGTCTCTTGGGGCTCTCTGGATTCCACTGTACTCAACAACACTGAACGACAGGGGGCCCTGGCTAGTGTGGAAGGGGATGCTTTTGTGAACTTAGGCGAATCCAGCTTGGAGCTTGCCTTGGAAGCTGGGCCGACGATGCATGGGGTTTCGGGTTTATTGTAGGGCTTGGGGTATTATTTTTAGGAATTGAGGTTAGGGGGTTATACAATTCATTTGGGTATGATTTAGGGCTCAAGGTGTTGGGGCTTAGGGGAGGGGCTTGTCTGGCGCAGAATGTAGTGTTGATGAGTTGATGGGGGGGGTAGGTTGGGATCATGTATTAGGATGAGATGATGGACGACACGAATGTCGCCATTATACTTATACTTTATATGCGGGTTCATTCATTCTGTAGGATGCTGCACACCCTGTACACTGGGCAAAGTCGTGTTCGTGCTGGTGAGGATGCTTACTTACGGTTCTCTTTGTTGTGAGGAAAGAAACAGTACATAATTTGGCAGGAAGATTTTACTTCACTGTTTCATTCTCATTCAGTGAAGCGATAGTGCTCCTGCCACTACTAGGAGTAGCTATGCAGTTACAGGACTATAAGATGCTTTTGTTCTTGCCGTTGCTGTCGCTTTGATTGTTGTGCTCGTGTTTCTTGTTGTTGTCGTGCATCTTGCTCAGAATCGGTGACCAGCGGCTTCTGAGAAAGGTCCGGACGAGGCTAACCACGATTTTTGCATGCGGGCCGCTTTTGCTTCAACGTATAGCATCTTACACGGACTTCTTGTGTTGATATAATTTAGCCGTACATGGTAGTTTCTCACTGAAAAGGCGGACCCTGAAACAGTAGGGTTCCTGGTTGTAAGATATGCAAGCACGGACCCTTGATTCCTGAGACGGGCCCAAGCCCTACCCTTCTGAAACGAAATCCGGGATCCTCCGGAAGACCAAAATCTGAACCCTTAGCCCGAAACCCACATGAACATTGAATCTAAAGCCGCGGCTTCTAAGCCCGAAGCCCTAAACCCACAATTTGAAGCCTCAACTCGGATCCCGCCCGAGCCCGAGGAGGGTGTCGTCCAGTTCGAACCGACAATCCGCATCAGCTTGAAGACGAACGGCGACACCGAGGCATCCTTCTGCCTCCAGGACCTTTGAGGTTTAGGCGGCTTGGGGTTTCCCAAGCCTTCTATATACCTGTGAATTCTAAGCAGTAAATCTGCTAACAGTGCTCTGGAAGTGTTTTGAAGCAGCACAGGTTGCATGAGTCAATCCCTACACTCTCAAGCGAACCGAAGAATCTAAACCCCGACAGCGTAGATGCTGGAAGCCTCAGCCCTTACTCAATATCTCCTTTTTGAGGGTCACGAACTAAAACCCGAAGCCCCGAACCCCACCCCCTACATCCCGGAACCCCCTAAGCCCGAAGCTGCTAAACCCGAATACCACAAGGGTCGGCATAAAGGACCCCTGTAGATCTCGTAAAGGACCCTTACAGATCCCTTAAAGGAGCATTGTTTCAAAGCCTGGTAATCGGAATCATACTCATACTCATAATTAAGGACAATAATACTACTCATAAGGCTAACAACAATAAGAATACTAATCATCGTAACAACAATAAGTACAAGAAGAACCCCAAAAACCCTAAACCCCCAATACGAAGAAGAATAGCAACCCTCAACCTGAAACTCCTAAACCCTAATCCCTAAACCCCTAAACCCAGAATGCTAGTAATACTAGTAACAAAGAACCCCAAACCCTAAACCCTAAACCCTAAGAGTACTAATCATCGTAGCAACAATAAGAACAAGAAGAACCCTAAACCCTAAACCCAGAATACTACATGTGGTGAGAAAGACAGGTGGGCGTGGAAGGCTTGGTCCGGGCCTCTTTCGATGCCTTGGCCACTGCGGAGGGAGGCTGCGGCATGTCCGCGGAGAAGAGGCTCCTTGGAGTTTTAGCCTTTGTATGACTTTCCTGGTCTTTGGCATTTTCTGTTTTATATCTCCAAAGGATCCATAAGAATGGTATTTTTTTATTTTGGTCTTAAGGGCGGCTAAGCTAACGGGTACTCAATACGGTTCTGCAATAGGCTCCCCTTGTCAGGTTACTAAATTCGTAGAAAAGGTTCTATAATGGAGTCTCCATTAAAGGGTACCATATTACTATATGAACCCCTTTAATAGAGGATCTGTTCGGGTTCCATAATCGGGCAGTTTTGTCGTTTGCAAGGCCTGCAATCTTTTCCTGTAGAGTTGTGCTGCTTCGTGTTTCGGGAGTAGCATAATAAGCTTGTACGAGATTTTATTATAAGTAAGTATTTTTTCAATACTACAAACTATACTATGTTGTTACAAGATTTCTGTGCGACTTCTTGCTTCAAGGGCGCTCGTGGCTTCGAGGGTGGGCTTCCCAGCAGAAACCTAGCCCTCTATAACCCCTTCAGTTTGTACCAATCCGTGGAGCCCCTGCATCTTTGCATATGAAAGTTGACCTTCAGCCCATGGAATTGTAGAAGATTGTTCCTCCGGAAACGCTGCGATGAGGTTTCCGCAGAAGCCTCTCAAGAAGGTTGCTTGCGCCCCGCCTTTCTGCATCATCGTGGCTTTGCTGCCCTTGAGCCTTTTGGGGCTTTGAGTTCTTTCGGATATGGCATTCCTGGCTTGAGGATTCAGAGTCTGGCGTTCGGGTTATAGACAGGCAGGCTTTCGAGATGTGTCGAAATACTAGTCTTTGCAAGAGTTTGTCTTTTGCTTTCGTAGCTCAAGCAGACCTCCTTCGGCATCTTCCTCCCTAATGGCACCCACCAGTGCTTCCACGGGGAGGACACGCCGGCGTACGCGTGGGCAAAAGGGGTTGGATATAGCTGAAAACATGAAAGGTTTTCTGCGGCCTGCATTCCAGATTTTTTATTACAAACAACAGTCGTAAAGCGCAACCCGTCGACATGATGTCACGACTGCTGCAATCAAAGCTGTGATCGCGACATATGGTGTGTCTTTGATTGATGTTGACCTGGATGATGATGATGATGATGATGATGATGAGACCGCAAGAAGGAGGCCAGTATCATGCTCCGTCATGTTCGTTCCTGCATCTATGCCCGATCCACTGAGACAAGCACAGGGTAGGTCTAGTGGTTTCATACTTACGTATTGGCATACACTTATTGGTTTATGTTGCTTGTTCCAATCGTTGAAGCCCGGATCTTCAATCCGCAGATCGCTCCAAATGTTCTCGGGCCCGAATTCTTCTGATGTGCTTTCAACCCGTACCCTATACATCCCCGACTGACCCCTCTCAATAACCCCAAAAATCTATATCACCCCCCTGCAGCCCCCTCCCCCCAGCCCAATCAAAGCCCTCGCAAAAGCCAGGTTTTGCTGCAGATGGTGGCCGACGTCGAGCTGAGTGGGGTCATCACCGGCAGCGCAGAGGCCGGACCTTGGGGCCTCCACAAGCAGCCGAGCTTGGAAGGTTTTAGGGTTTAGGGCTTTGGGGTGTCAAAGTTTCGGGTTTAGGACGCCTTCACATTCAGAACAGCACTCCGTCAAGGGTTTTACCAAGAGAGTTTATCGGCTGCCATGTAGGGGCCTGAGCAATGGGACGATGGTTTTGGGGCTTGGTTATAGTCTGGTTATATCGGCACTGCTAGGGGACACCAGTACAAACGATTCAGAGCCCTTTTTTCGAGGGTTACGCACTCAGGTCTGGGATGTTGGTGTAGGGTCTTTCGGGTTGCGGTGACAAGAGCAGGTTGGTTTCGGGATGAATTCGAGGGTTTGGATGACCCCGGGCATAAATGGAAAGGGTTAGCTAGTAATGGTACTACCCTTCTAGTCCCGATATATCCTGCAATAAAAAATAGCTTCGAACCCTGTTTTGGTTGGTAATAAGGCCCCTACATTCCTACATGGTGCCCCGGGTTTGGGCAGAGCAAGCCAGAGCAGAGTGTTCTCTGGACGCACGGACACCCTCCTTCAACAATACTCCTCAAGTTGAAGAGCGACTCTTATGACTCAAGAAATATCCAAAAAGCTCAGGCATCTATCTCTGGTTGTTAATGTATACCCTGACGAATAAATCCCTTGTCTGCCAGGGTCTTTAGTACTGTGGGCTACTAGGATCCAGGTTATTGCGAGTAGGGAGTTCATTCTAAGCGACCCTAAACTCTCAGCCCTCATTGTCTGACTGTGGGCTGTGTTCTTCTTGATACCTGGTAATTATCCTTGCTGTTGTCTTTCAGGGGCGCAGTAGTATTATCTCCTGACCAAAGCAACATCCAGCGGCCTAGCGGCTTCCTCAGAAAATACAATAGCCATGTAACAACACAAGACTCGGCATGTTGTAAGTCCTGAGCCTGAAATCTTCCAAGCTGGTGGCATGAAGAGACTCCCCCAAAAAGAAAACGCGAAGCCCCGGGTTCCCTAGGATGTTGAGAAAGAGAATAAGTCAAGATGATGCCTTGCGAAGTGCGTAGGCAGACTTTTTCAGATTGAACCCACAGGGCAAAGGCATCACGCCTTCGCGAACCCCGCAACGCAGCCTTGGGGGGACATCCGTCTTTCGGAGGTCGGCGCCAACGCAGATTTTCAGATCTCCGGCTCTGTCCTCGTCAACCCGCAGGGCCACGCCGACGCCGACTTCCAGAACCCGACCATCAAGCACCAGGCAGCGGCGGTTGAGGATTGTGTTAGATTCTGTCCTTCCTTTGGGATCTTTTGGGGTGTTGCCATTGAGAAGAGTACTAGACGGGCCACTAAGTAGGCCATGAAACTGCCCTTGTTGCGGTTGTTGCTTCGTTTGACAGCGATACGATCATCCTTGCCGTGCGTTTGTTATGTTGATGTTAATTTAACTGTTGTCTTGTCGCATTTTGGTTCCTGAGTGCTGCTCACAGCTCCTCCTTTTCTCCCCTATCATGAACATAGGGTTGGTCGTAGTCGTGCTTGTAGTAGTCGTCGCAATAGTAGCAGTCGCGGTAGGAGGAGGAGGAGGAGCAGGAGGAGGGGGGACAAAGGTGGAACGGTCTTTGTCGAGGTGATACAGTGCAAACATAGTACTTATAGCTGGCGTTGCTGCAGTCGTCATTGGATTTGTTGTAGTTCTCGTTGTGGCTCCTCTGACATGAACGATGGCTGTGCTGGCAGCTGCTGGCACTCAGAGACCGGCTAGAGCCGTCATCGTAGTGGACCGAATATCGGTATCAATGCTGCTGCTCTTCCCCACCGGTGCTACCAAGGTCTTCGTTATGTCCACACCGCAGTTGCTCCTCTACACGACCACCACCACCACAACTGCAGCTACTACTACTACTACTACTACTACTACTACTACTCCTACTGCTACTACTCCTACTGCTACTGCTGCTACTACTACTACTACTACTACTGCTACTGTTGCTGCTGCTGCTGCTGCTGCTGCTACTACTACTACTACTACTACTACTGCTACTGCTACTGCTACTGC